TATCCCTCCGTGCTTGAAGACATACAACAACATTACTATTCTTGCCATGATCATCAATTGCATGTGTACTAGAAGGTACATAAACCACCAAATATCATATCTCGCCATGATACCTTCTTAAAAAGCTATTGAAACTACTGATAATATACAGACAGGGTTCGTACACTTTTTCAGGACAAAGATTCAAGGACTTTTCAAGGACTTTCCAGGACCCCACTTAGAAATTTCAAGGACTTTTTGTAATGACAATTTTACCTCAAAACCAAGAAAAATGTTTCTGTTAACATCTACGTTTTGGGTTTACCGATGGTGCAAAACAGAAGCAGATATTTTTCGATGTTGTTCAATAAAAAATCAAGGACTTTCAAGGACCCAAAACGAAATTCAAGTACTTTCAAGGCCTTGAAATCAGCCTACTGAAATTCAAGGGTTTTCAAGACGCGTATGAACCGTGTACAGAGAGCTTACAGACTGTACTTTTGACTACTTTGGTTTGAGACATTGCAAACAAAGGAATACCAAAATGAAACAACTATATGTACTAGAGTGGTGATATAAGTTTAGTTACATACCAAGGTGATTTAATCCCAGAACTCATGGACAATACAACAAAAAAATTACGATTTCCTGAGGACTCAGATTTAATGCTAGCCACAGATTGAAATACATTCACTATAGAGCAGAACTCTGCTTTTCAACCACAGTTCTTCCTAGAACTAACAGATCTCAACACTGGGTACATGGGGGATTAGATTTACCATTTGTTTATAACAACCATTAGGCCATTTGGTCACATTTCCAAGCACAAAAATTATAAGTTTTATGTGCAAATAATTATTAAAGATTTGCTATGTGTATAACCCTACCTTGATAATGACTCTCTGGTCTGTTTGTTTGTCCAGGGTTATTTCAGAATCTGTGTCAAACTGTTTGATCTGCTGCCTGATGGCCTGGACAACAGCAGGCACAAAAGCTGCCGCAGGCAAATCGAGATCATCACACAACACTTCTGCAAACACCTCTGGTGAAATTAGCGTCTCTAAACAATAAAAAACAGCAAAAGACCAACTGAGTTACCAAAACCCAACAACTGACAGCATTGTCCTCAGTAACAGTGCATGTATAACATCAAAGATTTCAACATGATGTTTGGAGGGAAACTTGAATAAATACAAAAAACAACAAAAACAAATAACAAACTGAAGTATCAAAATGCATCAGAAAAAAAAATTTTTGAATGACATAATCAAACTGAAGCAAAGTGAAAGACATGGTAGTGTAAGGGTTGAAAGCTGGCCCACTTACAGTAGTTCAAAAGTGTTAATGCCTTTTTTCATATTCACTTCTTCAAAATAAAGCAGAGAAAAACGTATACATGTAGGCTAAGCAACTTGATACCTAACACCATCTCCTCTCCCACAATAAGGCAATTCCTTTTTGCCTTTAAAATGCTCACACAAAAACAACAAACTAACCAAAATTTACGATTATATAAAGGCTCAAAACTCAATAACTAATAGCCCTTATAGCATTTGTGTCTGCAATGCAAAGAGTCTGCGGAGTTACAGTTTCGGGACGAGGCTAATGGGTCAACGTTTCTCGAGAAACACTCCATGTCTGACCATGTAACTCTGGAATCTGCGTTTTTTTCTGCCGAGGAAAAGGTTAAAATTCTTAGTGGTAATTGTCCTGGCATCACAAAAGGAAGATTGAAAGAATGGCTGTCATTTCGGAAAGGAACGGCAAAATTTTGTCGCGTTTGTTCCTGACTACGGTTGTTGTTCCTTTTTCGGCCTTATTGAGGTTTAACTCAGAGTCATGTTTCAATGCCCTCAGCATCTTGTGTTCGGCCGGAAGCAAATTATCTTTTGGCTTTGTAGTTTCCATTTCTGAAAGGTCACTTTTAACATCTTCTAAATAGCTTTCAAGGGCTACTGATTTTTGTATTGGTGGTATCCATGTAGATTTGATGTGGCAGGGATGGGTTTTTTTGTCCTCCCCTCGGAATATGTAAATCAGACACATTCTCCGTGCGAACTGATCAAAGTCACACAATAGTTGGATGTCCTCCCCTGGGGTGGGATGGGTGGGTAACAGGACCCCCGTTGATACCAGTGTTTACTACACTGAAGGGGCTATCCTGTATAAATATAGATGTCTGTCTGTCTGTCTGTCTGTCTGTCTGTCTGTCTGTCTGATCTGTTTTTGTTTAATTTGTAGCGGGTGTTGGAATGAATTTAAGCCCTTTTGCCAGTAAATTAATTTGGTCATTTGTAAGTTCTTTATTTGAGAGGTCTTTTATGTGTGTTTTGTTCGCCTCTAGTTTGATAGTTGAATGTGTTTGGCAAGACCACAGTTTCGATCCTAATCTTGTGGATCTCATCAATTGCCAATTCACTGAATAGACTATTGCACCCGTACGCAATACAATGTCTAACCATGACCAGAACAAGCTGTATCCTTAAGAAAATGAATAAAAATGCCTCCAAACGTAGCCATTTGCTTCGATTTTACTTGAAAGTTTTACCTGTATGACCTGATAGCCTCGTTTCGAAACTTCAAAGTGCCCTGAGCTCTTGTACAGTGGGTGTAAATGCGATAAGGGCTATTGCACACTCTTTTAACAGTGTATATGTGATATTAACTCTCAAAATAGAAACAACAACTTTGAGTTTAAATTTACAAGACATGTTTCGACATTCTCATGTCATCTTCAGTTGCAAATGAGCATTTAACGGTTGTACATTTGAATTTATATTAAGGTACGTTACAAATTATGTGTCAGGGCTTACGTTACATTTGAATATTAAAAACACGAAAAATGTAAATAACGCGCGCTTGTCTAGATTTAAAAAAAAAAAAAATAATAATAATAATAAAATAAAAGACCAAGGAACAACATAATTAAAAGGTAAGAGACAATTCTAGATGCTTCTATTGCTGATTAAGAATGGGTTTTTCCCACTTAATATGCAAAGCCTCTTTGATCTTACTTTGGTATTTTAAAGCGGCAGAATCTAAGATCGAGAAACATTTAGTATCACAAGAGTCAAGAAAGGCCCTTGATGATTGCAGGTACTTGTAAATATGCGAAGTTTTGTCCGACAAGAGGTGCTCACGAACTCGTGTACAAATGTCTGAGACTCGGCTTGACCTGGTCTTACTTCGGCTTTAAGTACAAACACACCGGCATCTTTACGTACCTCGTAGCCATAAACTACCCCCACTTTGTGCGATATGAAATGATGGTAAGCCTCTAAACTTTTATAACACTTAAACTTTTGGGTAATAAAAGGTCCTCGGTTATCTACCAGATAAATCCAGGGATCCCCGAAGTTTATATCAGGATGTGGGCTTGTCATTCCACAAATGACTTGCGTTTCATATCTCGTATGGATTTCGAATATCGACAAAACCACACCCCAACGACACCCTAAGCTTTTCTTGAAACCTTTTTCTGTCTTCCGGGTCTAAAGTGCCCAAATATCTCGAATCAGTGCCACTGATCCTGGCTGCCAGAGTTTCGAAACCCTCTCCCTTTTCAGCCATGTTTTTTTGTTTTAGCCACCCAAGTTCTCGCGCATGCTCTATGTAATCAAAACAAGTATTCGCCTGTGGGAAATACCCATCCTTAATCAGCAATTGAAGCATCTACAATTGTCTCTTTCCTTTTAATTATGTTGTTCCTTGGTCTTTTATTTCATTATTATTATTTACATTTTTTTGATCTAGTCGAGCGCGCGCTATTTACATTTTTCGCGTTAAAAATATTCAAATGTAACGTAAGCCCTGACACGTAATTTGTAACGTACCTGTAAATTCAAAATGTACCTGTACCTTCAAAATGTACCTGTGAATTCAAAATGTACCTGTAAATTCAAATGTACAACCGTTAAAAGCTCATTTGCAACTGAAGATGACATGAGAATGTCGAAACATGTCGTAAATTTGAACTCAAAGTTGACGTTTTATTTTTGAGAGTTATTGTTACTCTGCTGTCTTTACGTCCTTGTGGTAACATAGTTTGTAAATTCGTGCAATCAAATTCAATTGCGCGAACGTGCTTCAATTTTCCATTGTGCACACTGATGAATTCAGCAAACAAATGCCTCGGGAAAAATTTTTTTTCTCGCAAGTGACTTCAGCATTTTTCATTAAAAAACGGGAAAAAATTCCGCAAAAAAGTTAAACTAGACATGGCAACAAGCGACCAAGCCAATGAAGATCTGCCTATTTATTTTTTCGGAAATGGATTTTTTAACTCCCGAGAGAGAACCCAGAGAAAGGGAAAACAAAACAATCAAGGGTTTCATCTCGTTTCGCAACTCTAACTTCATTTCCACGCATGAATTCACCTGGCAGTTTTTGACCAATCTGAGACAAGATCATTGAACCATAGCGAAATACTTTACCGAAACAAAATAAACAACGCACTGCAGCGTAGGAGAAGGAATTTCTGCTCTTTATACATAAACTACAGCGTTAAAAATGCTATAAAACAATTGATTTATGTGTCAGCTGTGCGTTCATAGAGACTTGCGGCACTTAGGAAGTTTGGAGAGCACTCAAGAAGCT